GTGAAGGGTCAGTAGGACCACGATCTAATTTCCTGTTACCATTAACCAGTTCTAAGGAACATAGATGTTTTATGGATTGCAGTGGGCCACACCTTCTTAATATCAGTGTCTGTGTGGGTTTTTTTATATGAATAGGAACTGCAGGATTTGTGCTATAATTAAAACACAAAGGATGTTGGTTGCAAGGGTCCTTCCATATCCACCACACCTCTGAAGTATATGCAGATATGATGCAATGAGCAATTGTTAGACAGTTAAGGTAATTAAAGAATACATATTCACTCTGGAAGGTGTACTTGTTACCTCAGGGAACCAGTTCCTTTTCAGCTTCCTTAAAGATATGTAGTTGCCTAATTCCCTTAAATTCCTCTGGTCTCTCAAATTTTCAAGTCTGGTTTAGGAGGAGGTAGAGGAGGGCTCAGTTCCAGAGCAGTTTATTAGTACTGTCAGAGGAAAGACAGTCATAGGAAAAGGACCTTGCTATCACACGTTAGTGTACAGCCTCAACAAAAAGTCGTGGTCTGATGCTAGCCACAATATACATGTTTGTGTCTCACACCTCTGTATAGCACAGCTCTAAGCTGTCCCCAGTCCCACCCTTTTTTGCTACTGTAGGCTAGCAGGATGGTATGGAACTTACTGCACAACCAATTTTTCCTTCTACCTCATTCCTGTGTACTTTAAAACATTTAGAATATAATTTTATTTATATGTTTTAATGTGTTGTGCGTGGCTAATATTCATAATACTCAAAACTTGTGGCCTTTTAGCTATGGCCCCTATATAAGCACTTCTTTAGTGTACAAAGTTCCCAAGTTCCTTCTTAATTTAAACAGTAGGATTGCTTATGATGCACTTCACTGTTGTGCCTACATGGTGCTTTTACATTATTCAGCCTACCAAGCCTAGCAAAAGCTATACATCTATTAGTGCCTTTAGCAGCCAGGAAAACTGAAGCCTATTACACTGCAGCATTTTATTTTCAGCCTTTAATCCCTTATGTGCGGGTATTTGTCAGCCTTTATTTTATTTAGATTTTAAGCTCTTTTGTTGAGATCCTGCTGTTTTACATGTTGGTAAAGTGCCTAGCACACAGTTGGTACTATACAAAAGATAAATAATAATAGAAATGTCAGCTGTTTGTTTTGTCAATTGCATTTCAAAACCCTATATTATATTTATTATTTCAGAATGAATAATCAAGTACTAAACCATGAACCTCGGTTAAAATTAATGTTAAAAGAACGGGATGAAACAGCACAGCAAACTGCATGTTATCCTTAAAATCATTCAACTATTAAATTGAATATTCCTGTTATGTTTTCTCATAATTTTCAGTATGAGTTTTCGGTGCAATATCTCTGACATCTCTTGGGTTTTATTTGTCTAAAATTGTTCTATTTAGATTGAAAGATTTCTGGTGATTTTTAACAGGCTTTTCCAGAATATCTTCATGCTTTATGTGATTTTTTCCCCCCTATCCTTTATTCTGTTTCATGATACAGAGTTAATACAGATGGTGCTGCCAATCTGCAGCCATGATCAGGTCCAGGAAATGAGAGTTTAACGCTAGTGTGAATTTACTTTTAATGTCACAGAGGGTATAAACAGACATCGCTCTTGTGCCACCATAAATAGATGATGGCAGCACAAGTTGTGATCAAACATTTGCCCTCGCCCACTGTTGTGCTCCAGGTGCCCAAAAATGTTTCTGCTGAGATTCATCCTGGCACAGCTGATCCTGCTCCATAGATGATGTCTGTTTATAACCAGTGCTTTCTGTTATACAGTAGGAACTGTTTCTTGTTCAGTTAGACTTTCCTAGTGAAAGGCAAGGGTCCAATCCTCTAGAAAATCAAAATATAACTAGCTTTTAGCAATTATCTGCCTAGAGTACCAGAGAAATTCTCCCTTTATTTCTTTTAATTAGGAAACCTCCATCCAGTGTTTGTTATACGCATATAAATGTGCCAGTCATGAAAATATTATTAACAGTATTCTCTTCTTATACTATTACTACAATCCCTGCCACTGCTATGGTGCAGTTTAGAGTTAGTCAGTAAGCAGTTGAGCATTTCCATTGACTTTATTTAGGTTAGGCTTTAATCCTTTTTCCATAGTTAGATGTCATAACTACAAGACCAGTTAGCTGGTTTTGATAGTAAGAGGGAAAGATTTTTTTTTTTTTTAAACTCACCTTGATTTCCAAGAATAATTTGAGCATTAGTTACAGTATTTGGCTGTAAAATTACTTTAGAAATCAGGAAAAGATCATTATTTTTGCTAACCTTCCAAATAACTTTTTGCAGTTTTTCAAGGGAGTTGACTGTCACTCCTTCTCATCAAAGACTTATATTTATGGATGTAGACACTTTCTGGCATCTTATAGTTTATGAAAAATTGTGTGGCCTAGAAATGCAGAAGTACATTGTCATTAATATTTTACATAAATACTTCAAGCCAGGTGTTACTATACAAGCATGTACTGCTCTGGGATAGCATCCACTTAAAGGCCTTGTCCAACTGTTCCTTTTTTATCTGAAGCCTCTACTAACCTCCTCACTGGCCCTTTTTTTTACTTTATTTCCCTCTCAGCAATGTAATGACCTTTAAAAATATATGCTTTAGTAATAAGACACCAAATTACTCGTGTGATATTTTTCTTCCTTTGCTGTCAACCTCATACTAGATTATTATTTTTTAAAGTTGTCTTTACTTCCTGGTGAACACAAGGTACTATATTGCATTTAGAGCCCTCTATAGCAGATGTTACCTTCACCCATGATTTACACTGGAATACAGGCAAAGCCAGTATCACTAGAGCAGAGTAGTCCCCTTTGTTTAGTACTGTATTAAATATTGATTCATGCTACTTTTAAAGAACAAGTGATAAATTTTGCTCTTCTATACCTGAGCTACACCTTGAAATAAAACAAATGTGTGTTGCACAGGATTCATTCTGGTTTTTTTCAGCTTAGCTGATCCATTTGATTGGCAAGTATACATGTTACCTGGGGCTGTTGTCCAACATGTTCAAGCGACTGCTGCTTCTAGGGCTCCAGGGACCTGATCCTGAACCAGGTCCCAACCTGAAGCATATTTCTTTCTGCAAGCTTTGGGAACACCGCAAGGGGTCACTGTTCTGTGTTTGCAGATGCATGCCCGGGGTCGGGGCCATGCAGCATGAAACTCATGCCCCAGAAATCCCCTGCAGGCAAATTCCCAAGGCACACATGTTGCACCATTAACATACAGATGTCAGCTGCAATAGAGTGGCAGAAACTATTAGTAGAAATGGTTGTGTAGCCCTTTTGGGGCATTTGTGGTATGACAAGGCAAGGACATCTGTATGCTTGCATTTTTTTTCCCACCATAAAAAGTTTTACGGCTGGGCAATATTTTTTTGCAGCCTAATAGTTTTAAATATTATACCTTTAAAAACACCAACTATTTTTCTCTCCAAATCATACTTTATGGACTTCTACATTTCAAGTGTAAAGAATTTTTCTTCTGTACCTTTAGAAGATATCCTTTTCCATAAAATAAACATTTTAAAAATAGTTATTACAAAGAGAGAAAGTTAATGTATTTCACAAAGCAATTAACTCATGCTGTCAATGCATAATAAGATTCAGAGCATGACAAGTGAGACATTACTTAGACATGATTCTCATTAAAAGAAAATGTGCAGGTTTATTTAGTGCATAAAATGAAAAATTAAGTAAATTTTAAAATTCTGTATGTAATTCTGCAGTCTAAAATGTAATTTTTTTCCCCTGTAGAAATGTGTAATGTTTTATTGATTTATAATTGTTATTACTTTTTGAAAAATGTATAAAAAATGAAGGAAGAAAACACAGAGCAACTTAAAATTTTATACAAGTTTAAAAGTCTACAAACAGAGAAACATCATAAGTACAATGTCCAACCAATATTCTAGCCAGAAAATATCAGAAAGAAAAGGGGCAAAACTCACTTAAGATGCATGCAACACTTTTATGTGAAGAAAGAGACTTGGTGTTGCAGAGATCAATAAAAATGCTTAACATGGGAAATGATCTGTGCATCCAGGAAAAAGCATCCAAGTTACCATGTATCATTAAAAAGTTATGAATCTTTTGAGTGATCAAATTTGTCTCTTTTCTAGCCTAAACAATGAAGTTACAAGATTATTTTGACCTTCATTTTCCAGCAGTAATTTTACTTAGCAAACAACGTTAACTGTAGTTTGTCAGTGCTATTATAATATTATTTCTCTAGTATATTGAAAATTACCTAGACAGCGCTGAGACGCTTTACAGCCAAACTATATGATTTTAAATGTATTATAGAGACCTGTCTACAGGCCTCTGGAGGCATATAGATGGCTGTGTATCTGCCATCAATCCAGTATCAGTCAACTCTGCTGATTTATTTTTATGTTGGTGAGAGAGATTATAGTATGTCTGCAAATGTTCAAATATGGTATATGTTTGAATGCATCATTCAGCATCTCTATAAAGGTAGTGCTTAGAAAATGGTGGTTTTGGCACTAGTGTGGAAGTTGGTACACCTAAATTCAATCACGGCTACTCAATATGCCTCCTATGAGGTGCTGGACCAATATGTAATTCAGGGCCTGATTTTTTTATTTTTTTTAAGAGGTTTTTCAGAATTCTAAGTTGAAGAAGGACATCTATAGAAATCAATGAGCATTGAACATGTAGGCATTTTAAAATTCCTGCTAGACATCTTCCAGCATTTTTAGGCACCTAACTACCTTTAAAAACTGACAGCTGCTTTCTTTGCTTTCAACTCTACAAATAACAGTACTTTGCCTAATATATTAAGGTTTGTGAGGCTCTCAGATGATATGGGAGAAAGGGTCTATTGATAGCTTTGATAGGTACTTACCTAGTAAAATTAAGGTGATGGGTACATTTACAGATAGATTTTATTAGTGTTACAGGAAAAAATCAATAATATTATCCATGTCTTTTTTTGATTTTTCTGTTTTGCAGACAAATCATGGATGCATACTCCAGAGGCTTTATCAAAACACTATATCCCTTATAATGCAAAGGTAAGAACTTTTTCCAGGGTATTTGCTTTGCAAAATTAGTTTTAAAAAGAGAAAAGTAAAAGATTTGCAAGAGCTTTTATCAAACAAAATGCTGTGAAAAAGCAGCTAAAAGTTACTGAAATAAAATAGAATCCTTTTGTAGATGCAAGAATCTCCAAGTATATCTACCTATGTACTCTGCTTCTTCCTACCTGAATGTTTGTGATGATTGACTAGGACCCAATCCTGCATTCTTTTCTTAGGCAATGTTCACCTTGAATGTAATGGATGCCAATTGACTGGTAGTTTTGGTGCATAAAAACAGTGTTAATGGGCTAGTAGATATTATAGGGTACAAACAGAAGTGACAATTTTTGCCTGACATGACCACAGAAAGCAATTTATAGCTGTGACCAAACACAAGTTCACGCCTGCAAACAGCTTAAAAATGGCTGATTATGTGAGAATCTGACAACTCATTGCATAGATTCATAGATGTAGGGTCGGAAGGGACCTAAGTAGATGTTCAAGTCCAACCCTCTGCCCTGGGTAGGAGAGAATACTGGATTTATATGACCCCAGCTAGGTAATTATCAAGCCTCCTCTTAAAGACCCCCAAGATTAGAAACCAGCACCACTTCCCTTAGAAGTTGGTTCCAGATCCTAGCCACCCTGATTGTGAAGTAGTGCCGTCTAATGTCCAGCCTGAACCTACTCTCAAACAACTTATGGCCGTTATTCCTTGTTACTCCGGGAGGTGCTCGGGGGAAACAGGGTCTCTCCCATTCCCCACTGGTCTCCCCCCGGTAAGTTTATAGACAGCCACCAGGTCCTCTCTCAGCCTTCTCTTGTGAAGGCTGAACAGGTTGAGGTCCCGTAGCTTCTCCTCATAGGGTCTGCCCTGCTGTCCCCAGATCATGCGAGTGGCCCTCCTCTGGACCCTCTCGATGCTGGCCAAATCTCTCCTAAAGTGCGGTGCCCAGAACTGGACACAGTACTCCAACTGCGGCCTGACCAGTGTCACACAGAGGGGGCGGGTCACCTCCTTGGCCCTGCTTGTGATGCATCTGTGGATGCATGCCGAGGTATGGCTGGCCTTACTGACCGCGTCCTCACATTGGTGACCCATGTTCATTTTGGAATCAATAATGACTCCAAAATCTCTTTCTGCCACTGTGCTTTCCAGAAGGGAGTTCCCCAACCTATAGGTATGCTGCTGGTTCTTACTGCCCAAGTGCAGCACCCTGTACTTTTCAGTATTGAATCCCATCCTGTTCACATTCACCCACCCCTGTAACCTGTCCAGGTCCAGCTGTATCCTGTCCCTCCCTTCTAGCGTGCCCACCTCACCCCAAATCTTGGTGTTGTCAGCGAATTTGAACAGGGTGCTTTTCACCTCCTCGTCCAAGTCGCTAATAAAGAGATTGAACAGTGCGGGCCCGAGGACCAAGCCCTGGGGGACTCCACTGCCGACATCCCTCCAGGTTGAATATGACCTGTCCACCATCACTCTTGGGTGCAGCCCCTCAGCCAATTTGTGACCCATCTGACTGTGTAAACATCAATGCCACAGTTGCCTAGCTTTTTACTGAAAATGGGGTGGGAGACAGTGTCAAAGGCCTTTCTGAAGTCCAGAAAGACTATCTCCACCGCAACACCTGCATCCAATGATTTTGTGACCTGATCATAGAAGGCAATTGGGCTGGTCAGGCTACAAAACTGAGCGATGGAGGTATACTCCTCTTTGGTGATAGCCCCTCCCTTCCACTAGGTGTACACCTCTGTTGGTTTTCCAGCATTCCTGAATGCCTTTGGTGAGCCAGGGGGGCTTTTGAGCACTCTTGCCCCCTTTGATTCTCTTTGTGACTGTCACCCCTTGGGCTCGGAGGATTGTCTCCTTAAGGAACGACCACTCATCTTGGACACCTGGTTCCCCTACCCTCCAGGACCCCAGTGCCCCTCCTACCAATCTCCTCAACTTGTTGAAGTTGGCCTTCTTGAAGTCAAGGGCTTCTGCCTTTCTGCAGGCCCTTAACACCCTGTGCTGGATAGTGAATTCCAGTAAGCGATGATCACTGTCCCCCAGGTGGTCAAGAACCTGGAGTCCCCTCACCAGGTCATTGCCTGTGGCTAGGACCAGGTCCAGGAGGGCATTCCCCCTGGTGGGACTGTGCACCTCCTGGGTTAATTGGAGGTCCCGTATCTCAGCAAGGAACTTTCATGAGTGGCCTGACCTGGCTGACTGATCCTCCCAGCAGATGTCCGGGTAATTTAAATCACCCATGATGACTAGATCCCTTGCCTTAAGTGCCTCTGCAAGCTGACCCAAGAATTCATGGTCCAGCTCTTCCCCTTGGTTGGGTGGTCTGTAGTAGACCCCCACTGTTAAGTTCCTTTCCCCATGACCCCCCTGTAATCTGACCCAGAGCACTTCAGCCTGCCCCTCCTCTGACCCCCCTGTTAGTCGAGGATGTGTATTGCTCTTTGATGTAGAGTGCCACACCCCCACCTTTCCTCTCCATTCTATCCCACCTGTATAGTCTGTAGCCCCTAATGTTTAACTCCCAGTTGTGGAATGAATCCCACTAGGTTTATGTGAGCCCTACTATGTCTGGGTTTGTACTAGCTATCCGGAGGGCGAGTTCCTCCTGCTTATTTCCCATGTTACAAGCATTAGTGTAGAGGCACTTAAGGCCTTGTATTGGTGCATGCACCACGCCCTGATTCTTAGGACTATTCAGACCCCGTCACTTACCTGGATACTCCTTGTGCACATCACCCATCTTGATTGGGAGGTGTCCTCATGTCCTCCTGTGGCCCCTTCCCCCGATGAAGCTAGTTTAAAGCACACCGTACAAGATCAGCTAACCTGGAAGAAAAGACATGCTTGCCTTTAGGGGAGAGATGTAGCCCATCCCTCCCAAGAGGGAGATATCAGATAAAGACGTTTCAAAATGTAGCATCCTTTGTACCTTTTGTCTGAAAAACTCCTAGCCTGTTGCTGTTTTCAGAATGGGAGGGGGGAAAGGGAGCAGAGGGAGTTCAGTTGGGGGGGGGGAGGGGGGTTTCAGCCCCCCTGGAGAGTGGGGCAAATGTATTGGAGTCCCATCCCCACCCCTGGAGAGTGGGGCAAGTGGCCGGAGTCCCCCCAGCTTTGCAAAAAATGTTCTGAGTTACAGCTGGAAGCTGCACTTCTGTCTGAACTCTTAGTTTCATTGTACAAGATTTAAAAGAGAAGAAAACCTAAAATGTCATCTTTTAGGACCTAAGCAATTTAGCAGACTGAAGGAAGTAAGTGAAACGTAAGAGAATTGTGTGGTAGACAAGGTTCTTTGGATAGATGTAATATCTTGTATTAGACCAACTGAATAGTTGGAAACATAGTTTGTTGATGAGAGTATTTATGGAGGATATTCCACAGTACTCAAGGTATTCCATAGCACTCATTGTTATGCTTCATTGTTTTGTCAATGGAAGCAACAGTTCCTGTTCTTTTTCCTTATGAGGAAATCAGCTTACTTTCCCCAGAGGAAAACAGTAGAGGAAGAAGAAAAGAACATGGTCTTTTATAACCAAACTCTGTATCAGAATGCATACATACTAATGTTGCTGGGTTTTTGGTTGTAGCCATGTTGGTCTAAGGACACAGGCAGGCAAGGTTCTTTGGTTAGATGTGATATCTTTTATTAGACCAAATCAGTTGGTCTAATAAGCTAATTCAGTTGATCTAATAAAAGATATCACATCTAACCAAAGAATCTTGCCTACATAGTAATGTTGCATAGATCACTAATTCTAGCAGACCTGAATTTTGAGTGCTTGATTTTTTTTTAACCTTAAAATGTTCTTTTAATGCTCTTTCCATATTTAAGATACTGATTCAACTGATGATAATAATAATAGACTGTCCATCCACTCTCTGGAGCAGCACCAGAGGGAAGTGAGTTACACAGTTTGCCAGTGAGTTTCCTCAGCAGTGGCAATCCCTCATGGTTGAGTGAAGGGTTGTAAATGAGTCCATTTGTGGCTAAGAAAGCCAGTCCTAGAGCTGCAGATTCTGGCAAATACCACAGTTGGTGGTTATTTCCTTCCCTTCCGTTTCTGTCATTTTCCTGCCTCTGGGGCAAGACGGTTTTCTTCAAAGTATGATGTACCTTTTCTTACAAGGCATCACCACGTAGCCATGTCCCAGGCTAATTTTTTCCCAATTTGTGGTGTCAATGCTGCACTTCTTAATGTTAGCCTTGAGGGTATCCTTGAAGCATTTCCTGTGGCTCCTGCATGTCCTTTGTCCTTGGCTGAGTCAAGAGTATAGCAGTTGTTTTGGTAAACATACAACATGCACACAGTGCCCTGTCCACCACAACTGATGTTGAATAATCAGTGCTTCCATACTGGTGGTGTTAGCACTAGTGAGGACACTGGCATTCATGCAGTGATTATCCCACTTAATTCCAAAGATCTTCTGTGATGGTGATGGTGTTTCAGGTTTTTCAGGTGGTCCCTGTAGGTCACCCAAGCTTCACAACCATAGAGAAGAGTTAGATTTATATAGCTGTATATATATAGCCAGTGCCTTATATAGGAGGAGCTTTGCTTGAGTCCTGATGTTGTGATCATTGAACACACCATTGTTTGGTCTTCCGAAGAGCTGGCACATTGAATCCTGTACTGAATCTCCTTATTGGCCGTCTTTGAGAGATGGCTGCCAAGGTATGCAAAGTGCGCACTATTTTCTAGCTCCCGTCCATCAATGAGGATCTTTGCCAGTGCAATTGATTGGCCTGGACCAAGCTCGTGAAACACCTTGTTTTTCTGATATTAAGCGTCAGTCCCAGGCACTGGTATGCTTGAGAGAAGCAGTTATGGGTTGTTTGTAGGTCTTCCTTTGTATGTGTAAGGGCAGTTTCATAGATGTTTGCTGACAGAAGAGGAATGGTAAGGTTTGGGGATCTTAAATTTAATTCCAAATTCTGGAGAGGAATGTGATCTGAACATGGACGTATCTGCCTAAAGTCTGA